TTTTGGCAATGGTTCTGGTATTTTTAAAGTCAATTTCGTGTCCTGTGGCTTTAAGGTGTTGGACCAGGGAAGATGTTGGTTCCTCTTTTTTGACTGAGTTCTTATGTTCTTCAATGCGTGCACTTATTCTTCTGTTGGTTTGTCCGATGTATGTGGTGGGACAAGTGGTGCATGGGATTTCGTATACTCCTTGATTTTCTAATTCAATTTTATCTTTGGGGTTTCTAAGGATGGTGGATATTTTTCTGTTTGTGCAGAATGCTGTTTTGATGTTGTGTTTATGAAGGATCTTACTGATTCTGTCTGTGGTGCCTTTTATGTATGGGAGGAGGGCTTTGCCGTTTTCTTGTTCTTTGTCTTGGATTTTGGTGGGGGTTTCTTTTTGGATTAGGTTTGTAATCTTATTTCTATGTAACATCCAATGGATTCCATAGAAATAAGATTACAAACCTAATCCAAAAAGAAACCCCCACTAAAATCCAAGACAAAGAACAAGAAAACGGCAAAGCCCTCCTCCCATACATAAAAGGCACCACAGACAGAATCAGTAAGATCCTCCATAAACACAACATCAAAACAGCATTCTGCACAAACAGAAAAATATCCACCATCCTTAGAAACCCCAAAGATAAAATTGAATTAGAAAATCAAGGAGTATACGAAATCCCATGCACCACTTGTCCCACCACATACATCGGACAAACCAACAGAAGAATAAGTGCACGCATTGAAGAACATAAGAACTCAGTCAAAAAAGAGGAACCAACATCTTCCCTGGTCCAACACCTTAAAGCCACAGGACATGAAATTGACTTTAAAAATACCAGAACCATTGCCAAAAGTGAACATTTTAATAACAGAATAATCAGAGAAGCCATCGAGATAGAAAAACGCCCACACAGCATGAACAAGCGAGATGATACCTCCCGCCTACCAGCCATTTGGAAACCTGCCCTTATTGACAAACGACTCCCTAACCCCAAAATCTTAAACCCCTCTGCAACTCAGACTAACCTGAGCACAACCAAACAGAACACTCCCCCAGCCAATCAGAGCACAGCCAAGCCCCTAACCATTCAGAACACACCTCCACCCAATCAGAACACAGCCAAGCTCCCATCCAATCAGTTCATACCCTCACTGGCAGTTAAAAGGAAGAAACAGCTAAAGCCACACATTGCTGCTCAAAGCAAGAAGCTAAAAACACCAGCCTGAAGATGACGAATGTGACTTCGTCGAAACGTTGCCAAGACACTTCCAATTTTACGCGGGAGAAAACCCGAACAACCAAAGACCTATATATATATATATATATATATATATATATATATATATATATATATATATATATATATATTATATATGCGTAATTTTGCTCTGGGAAGGGGGGGAAAAAGAAGAGGAGAAATGATGTGACAGATGCTAGTGACATTATTGAATGCTCTTTTGATGAATACTTCAGTACCATAGTGATACTCATTAGAAAATCTGAATAAAACAGAAAGTATACAGAAAAAAGCAGATTTAATTATCCAGCTGGTTTCCATTCATCATTTATATAAAATATTGTATAATTTATTCTTTAAAACACAAACTTTTGTTAAGAATGCTTTCAATGTCAACTGCTTTTTTGAATATGAAAATTGTCAGTCTCACTAGGTAGACCAGACCAAGAAATCAATGCCACAGGAAGCCTAGATCTACAATTATTCAGCATGACTATAAATAACAAAATTTTGCAAGTGTTGTACTTCCCTATCCCCACCTCTACTTATGCCCCAATCAGGGATGTGGCTGACTTGAGCCACTTCCAAATATTATTTTTATTTCCCAAAGCTTAAAAAATGTTTCAGTTCCCTTTGCCTAGGTAATGACAGTTGCATATTTTTGTCAAGGTCATCTCCCTTACTTCTGTACATTAACATTTGGTGGAGAGATATTTTAATTTCATTGGAGAATATGGCTACACTTTTTGGGACCATTGTTTTTAATATTTTTAATAAGATTCAGAAACATTGTCTGGAAGTTACTTCATATTTTAAAAGGAAGCAAGTTATTAGATTTGAAAAAACAAAACCTGAAAACTATTTTTGCAATTATTGATGGAAAAAGAAAAAAACAGTATTAAATCTTCTTTAAGCAGTGAAATGCAGTGTTTTTGCCAATATTGTTAGAAAATTTAAATACCAGTCTTCTAGCAATGAATTCAAAAAATGTATCTTTAAATAATACTGAAAAGCAATAATAAGAGGTAGAAAGGAAATATCTTTTAAAGAGCCATATCATTAAGAATGATACCTCATACTGCCAACAGATTAGAAAGTTGTCCAAATAATTATTATGTCTGACTGAGATCATAATGTGTGTTAATATACCAGCATTACAGGTGCAACATGTGTAATGTTTGGTTTCATAGCGAAAATATGTGCAAACAATGTCAGGATTTTCCATTACCCTCACAAGGAGTATAAATGAAAATCATGTGAAACTATTTCTGTGACTTAACAGAAAAGATACAGAACAGCATATTGGGTGGAAGTATGAACAACTTATTCTTTTGAGGACTACAATGGGCAATATTTGAGATGTCTGTAGTCACAAATAAGCCTTCCAACCTTTTCAAGGACTGTATGAGGCCATCCAGTGACATGCTGATGTCATTCAAAGGACACAGTTGAAAAAATTCATCTCCTTTTTGTTGGGGTAGGTTGGTATTATAGCAGGGATGAGACCAACTCTTGGAAACAAATAGCTTCATATCTCTTTCTCACATGATTTTTTTCTTCTTTTTCTTTTCAGTCATTGCTAAAGTAATCTGATTGTCAATCTTGCAAATTTGGTAAGTTGCTTCATTTTTAAAAGATGAAGTACTTCTAAATAATCTTCTAATATTTTATTTAAAATATGTTAAAAGTTTTGATCGGTCAGTTTGAATTTCTCGAAGATCTTCATAGGTTAGCCATGTGACTGTCGCATATGTTAGCTGTTCAAAAAAATGAGTGACACTTGTGGAGTTCAGTTAATGAATAAGTCTTACTATAATAAGCTCTATCAAAAATTGATATATTAACAATGGAATTGTAAAATATATTTCTGCTTAAATACTTTTATATATATTTGAACCTTCCTTTCATAAAACATTGGTTAACAATTATGCATTAGTTTGAAACTACATCATTTGATTATAAAATTATTTTACTTTTAAAACCAAAGATAAGTGTATTTGTTGCTGTACAAAAAACATATTCGAAATCAAAATTACACTTTAATCCTAAAGACTTCAGTTAAGCAGTCATTAGAATAGTAATTAGAAATATTTTTGTAAAAGTTAATTGTTATTAATCATATAGAATGTCACATAATTTAAAATCAAAACTACACTATTAATCTTTATGGAGTCATTTAGCATTGATACAAAACACAAATTGTCCTTTTAGAAGTTACTATAAATTGTTAGCTGGAGTTGGACTAACATATATGTGTATGGGTATGTTTTGTGTGTGTGGTGTGTGTGTGTTGCAGTGACTTCTCTTTAATGGACAAACAAGTTTATTTTTTGTATTTTTAAACTTAACAATATAGTAGTGTATTTTACTCTCTTGATTGAAGATAAAAACAATCTAAACACAGTAATTTTTTGTCAACTATAGTATTGTTAACAATACACAAATCTAACACAAGTCATCAACTACGCCCAGAAAGAGTTATCAGTTTCAAATTTTGAATCAGCTGTTCAACAAAAAAAGGCCTACATAACTGATTGATCTGAATCAATATTTTTAGGGATGTTTAAATTTAAAAATGTTTATTCTGATCTTCTTTAGTATGATAATATTTTCAAAAGGTCCTGTGCTGTTAAACAAAAAATGTGGCTTTTTCATCTTGTCTTTGAAGAATATAGGCAAAGACAGCCAACTGTGCTTACAAAGTAAATATTAACAGGCAAAAAACCAGTTCATATGATAAAATGTATAGGAATGAACCCCATGCATTGTCTATTCCAAAAGTATTTAGTCAGACAGGAAATTTCATTACCTACCACACACACACACACACACACACACACACACACACACACACACACACACACACACATTATGGGGGAAAAAACTGAACCTTCACACCCCTCTAAAATAGTTCGGTGCTGAACTGTGCTGCGAGAGGAAGGGAGCGAGGACAGAAAACCGGTCTAAGCCTCCTGCCTGGACAGCTCCTGGGTGCTGAAAGAGCCTGGAGCTGAGCTCTCCGAGCGGCTATGAGCCCACGACTAACGGGACCCACAGGTGCAGAGACAAAGGACGCCTCCTGGGCAGCGAGAAGCAGGTGAAAGGGGTGGGAGGGCTACACATTATTGGGGGAAGATGGCGGCTTCTCCAAGCCCACCCCAAGACAGGCAGCAGAGAAAACCTGGGCCTCGGCGATACAGTTATGCCCGTGGCGAGCTGTCTGAGGCAGGCGAGAAGCCGGCTAAAGGCAGAGTCTGGGGCGGCCGCGGCGAAAGGAGCAGCCGCCAGATGCTGCCTAATCCCGGTTGGGGCGAGACCCCCTAGACCCGCCATGCCGCCGCCGCCGCCACTTCCTGCTGCTGAGACCATCCGCTTCGCAGGGAGCGAGGAACAGCACCTGTGCGGCCATGTTGGGCGCCTGGCCCCACTCCACGCCTGGACGGCGAATAGGAGCCTGAAAAGCGGGGAGGGAGGGAACTCTCGGCTCTCTGCCGTCCCACCTCCGGCTAGGATGGACGGGGCCAGCGGCAGCCACAGCCGGGAGCGACGACACCGCCAAGCAGCCTCCTGCGCCGCTCCCGGGCGATCCCAGCAGGCCTTCTCCCCGCGCGATGCCCGGCGCTAGGCTGGCAGCCCTCCCGAAAGCAGACCCAGTCCGTGGGATGGGACTGGGACAGCTTTCCCCTCCGGGGCTGGGCCCCCGGCGCCAGAATTTGGGGACGGCGGGGTGTCGGGGGGGGGAAGGGAAAGAGGGGAAAGGAAAGTAGCACTTACTTCAGCACGGACTGCTCCTTCTCTTCTTCCTTCTTCTGGCGGTCCATGACGGCTTGGATGATCTTCCTCTCTTCCTCCGTGAGGTGGCTGAGGTCGGGCATCTCGGGCGGAGGCGGAGGGGGAGCAGAGCCGCCTCGGGGCCCGAGAGGAGCCGACATCTTTAGTCGAGGGAGCTTCGGCGACAACACTCTAAATTGGGAAATACTGGGCTAACTCAGGGGGAGGCCGCCGAACAAGCAGCGGGCGCCGCCGCCGCCGCCGCCGCCAACAGCGCTGAGTGAAATACATACAAATCAATACCCTTTAATCAATGGGCAGCTTAATTAATGCCCGGCGGGGAGGAGGGCGGGGGGGGCCGTCGCCCGTCAGGGCGGAGGGGCGAGGCGAGAGGAGCGGCGACCAACCCTCCCCTCCTCACCCAGCCACGCACCAGCCTCTCACCTGCTCAGCGGCGTGGAGGAGAGCGTGGGAGGGGGCAGCGATAGCGGCTGTGGGGCGCGGGAGACTTGGAAAGAGGGGAAGGGAACTTCTCCGGGGACACGCACGGCGGAGGGTCTTGCTCGACATCCAGAAAGCGAGCCGGGGGGAGAAGGAAGGGAACGAAGGACGGGGGGGGCGAGGAGGGGGTCGGGACTACGCTAACCACGGACGTCCCTTGCGTGTGGGGAGAACGGAGGTCGCTTGGCCCCGAGGGGGCCCTCGCGCCTCCGAGGAGCGAGCCGGGCGGGACGGCGGCGCGTGCTGGCGATTAGGCGATAGGGGCCCCGCCGGCGCCCTGAGGCGCAGAGCGGGGAGAAAACCCTTGGGGGCAGGGCAAGTCCCGGCCGCCAGCAGCTCCAGCCGGCTCATAATTCCAGCCCGCTGTCCATGGAAAGGACCGTGGGGCAACGCAGGTCCAGCCGGAGGCTTTTTCCTACCGCGCCGCCGCCCCTAGCGGCCGTTTATTCCGCCCCCCCCGCGCCTCGGCCAGGCCCTGCCACCGCTGCCGCCCCTCGTGGCTGCTTCGCTCGGCGGTTCGTCTCTCGGCTGCGCTGCTGCTGTTGCTGGCCAGTCGCCTAACCCATCGCATCGCGGAGCGGGCAGGGTCGGGGCGCGGATTAACGCGGGAATCGCGGGAATGCGCTCCTCGCCTTCCTCCCCGAGGTCTCCCTCCCTCCGTCCCCGCCCGACGTCGCTGTTGCCGCCGCAGCTCCCGCGCGCGTCCCCTCCCCGACCGCCAACCACGTTTCTGCCTCGTCGCCCGAGGCGCGGGAAGGAGGGGGGAAGAAGGGAAAGGCCGAAGCCGCTTCCACCAGCCGCCAGAGGGGGCGGTAGACACCGACGCGTCGCTAGCAGGCCGGCCTGCCGTGAGGGAGAAAAGACGGGGGCGAGGGCCTCAGGAGGGAGGGAGGAAGCTTGCTTGATTCCCTGCGAAGTCGCCAGGAGGGGAAGCGTTGTGATAACAGTCACGTCAGGTAGGCGGGGGAGGAGCGACCGAGCGGGAACGGCGGGGAGGCCGTGACAGAAAGAGGCGGCGCTGCGGCCGTTATTTCGTGGAGGTTGACCAAGATGGAAAGGAAGAGGGAGAGGCCCAAACGCCGCGCTTGGGAATGGGGTTACGGGTGAGGCTGGGCCGGAAGCGGCTGGGAGTGGGAGCTGCACCCGGCTAGATCGCTTCGGGAGCCGAAGTGCTCGGCTGCTCTTCAAAGCTTAACCTGGATCCGCCGCCCCTCAGTTTAAGCGTCCTGCTACTTTTACCTTTACGGGCATTTGAATGAACTAAAGCGGTGAGACGGCTAATGGGGAGCAGGAGATGAATACAAAAAGGTTAGGGACTGTAATCTGAGTTTAGGGTTATATAAACCATAATTTGTTACTTTTGGGAATTCATTTGGATAGATCTGGCTCTCTGGAGAAGGTTCAGATGCTGGCACAGGTGGAAAGAAAGGTGATTAACAGCAACCGAGATGGCCTCAGTTATACATTAGTAACTATAATGCACAATTGGGAGAACTGAAAGACGTGAGGACAAATAGTTGCGAACACAAAACAATGAAAATTATATAATAAAAATTTATTTTTAATAAAGACTTGAAAAAGCAAAAGGTTTGTGCCCTCTCTACCATTACTGTATGTACTATTTTTTTTTGAAAGCTAGATTTATTGTAACAAAGTACAACTAAAAGTTTCTTCATACTTCCCCTGTGTACCTCTGGAAGGGAGGTATCCCTGATAATTTGGTAACCCTGATCTAAATGGGGTCATTAAGAGACGCAATGACTTGATGGCACATGATCAACATGGAATTCCTGGGCTGTTTGGCCCTAAAACAACACTCGTGAACCCTGGAGAGGTTAAGTATACACTGCAGTCTTTTGCCCATAAACCCGATTTGTCTCTGTCCTATCTGGAGAACTCAACCTTAAAACCTTCTGAGTGCTGCATGAAAACTAGCTTGTTATACTGAATGCTGCAACTCTGAAACTTTTTCCTAAGTTGATACAAAAGTATATAGTGTGTCAAAACTAAAGGCTAACATGCTATGCCATTGTACATAAACTGCAAAATTTAGAAACCTTTTCACCAATTCACCATTACATGATAGATGGCTATGCTTTTAATTAATCAAAATGCACCATATTAGCTTTTATATTCAAAGACAAAGCCAAATCTTGGTTGTAAATGTTGGTTAATCACCCCACCCTTAATGCAGAAGTATTGTTTTTTATAGATGAAAAAAGGCTGGTTTCACTTCCATCCGATGGCATCAAAATGATAAAACATGCATCAGTGCCAGCTCTGGACTTAAATATTTTCATCACAATGCTACACACAAGTATTAGGGAGCAGAGTTGATACCAGAATGTAGAATTCATCGTCGACCCTCCGAAGAAGAAAGAACTCAACAAGGCAGATTAGGAATTTGCTGGAAGCACCATGTTTGGCAAGAGTTATGTTTGGCAAGAGTTTTTCTCCCCACCCCCCAAAATGGACTAATTGAAATGTTGTTTGAAAGTTCTACACTTCATTTTTGGAAAATATAATCTGTATCAACTTTCTTCAACTTGAATGTTTGAATAGAATGTTTAATACAAAATGCAGCTCCTCCTTTCTTGAACTTCTATTTATTTTGAACAAACTATCTTCCCCAATTAATGTATCTATTTATACAATATACAATCTATATGTGGTGATTAAGTTATGTCATTTCACTAGAATACGACTATAACTGTTAAATTATTTTTGCTGTTCTGGATGCAGCATACAACCTTAAATACATGAACTTCATGTATTAACTTTATGTACTATAAGCTTTCCAAATTTTTTCAGAATTGTTTAATAACACCTTAGTTTTTGTTTCCAGATGTCACAGAATATAATACTTTACAAAAGTTTGGGAATACACATATACTATTGTATTTAATATTTTAAATACAATTGTATTTAATATCTATTTAATGTATATGTAAGTTTCTTTCCTATTCTTATTTGCATTTGTTTTTTCTATTATATTTTAGTTTATCTTAGTAACATTTAATAAAAATAAATTAAAATTGAAAAGATGCAATTAATATAGGATTAAATAATTTGATAAAGTTTATATAACAAATTTGAAGTTCAAAAAAACAGCTGTTTTCCAGATGATGCGCAAGAAAATAGTGGCTGATCTCATCTGTTACATAAGACAAATCATTTAAAACTTTAATTGCATGCTAGCCCAAAGAATATTTGTTTGATTTTAGATGGCCAACTCTGGATATAGAAAGCTTTGTAGAAAGCTCAAGACTTGAGCAAGGTTTATAACTGAGGATAGAATCTGGAATCATTCATAGAAAGGAATGAAATGCCAAACTCTGATTACAGTATTTTAATGACTATATTAGATGGGTGGTTTGATGCAGTTATATATAAAAAGGCAGGATAAAAGTATAAAAATATTAATATTCTATAGTTGGTCCATACTTAACATATTCCAGTACTGTTACTGAAAATAATACAGCAAAAAAATAACTTCTTAAACTTCAGATATATTATTAATTTTCGTATTATGCTATAAACAAACTATATGGATCAACAGTTAATATAAAATATTGGCAGTAATCACATTCAAAATGTTAATAATTATTTCACATTTTACATATAGGCAGCTGTATATTTCTATTCAACAATTTTATTAACACACATAGAAAATAAAAATACAGATAGTCCTCAACTTACAACCATTTGTTTAGTGACTGTTCAAAGTTACAATGGCACTGAAAAGAGTGACTTATGTTTTTCACAAATATGACCATTGCAGCATGCCCACAGTCACATGATCAAATTTTGGATGTTTGGCAACTGGCATGTATTTATGACAGTTGCAGTATCCTGGGGTAAAATGTATAATCTTTTATAACTTTCTGACAAGCAAGTCAATGAGGAAGCCAGATTCATTTAACAACCATGTTACTGACTTAATCGTTGCAGTGATTCATTTAACAACTGTGACAAGAATGTGAAATGTGACAAAATTCACTTAACAACTGTCTTGCTTAGCAACATAAATTTTGGGCTCAGTTGTGGTCATAAGTTGAGGATTATCTCTATACTATTTGATAGGCTGAATCAGGACATGTAGTTTACTATGGAAAAGGGGTTTTATGCAGTTTGTCTTTATTAAATGGTGCCCAAATATTTGGGAGGCAGGTTTGCCAATCTAAGAATACTTTGTTTCACATCCTTTTAAGACACTACAACTTAACATTTTGGAAAACATATTGCAATATTCTGAGTTAGTTCCATATCCTTTAGTATGCAGTATTTCCGTGTACTTTTCAAGATACTTTCGCTCTTTACAAGCCATGCAGCAAAATAAATACTGTCAAAATACCCCAATTAGCCACACTATAGCAACTACAGTCTCAATTTATTGTTTTCATAATATCAAAAAGCAGTTTTGCATTATATCTTGTAACAAAGAAATGTATCTCACATATAAATCACGTCCATATGAATTTAGCACCCCTAGTAATTTTATATATGATTATTTTACTACAGCCATAATGTGTTTCTCCTTTTCTGACACAAGTGGTATAGATCCAGGCTTGCTGTGTTTACGACGGTTCAGTTCCCTAGAAAGAGACATTAAAATATATTTTATATATTTCATTGCTTAGAAAATAAAGTTACTACTACATAACCAATATTCATATATCAGAATGTAGGATTATATTTGGAATACAATTAACATATTAGGTATTGGATTATGATTCTGAAAAGAAAGAAATATTGAGACACTCTTTTTCAGGGCAGATTCAATTAAAAATAAAATTTGGAATAGATAGTCAATGTTCTTCTGTATATGCTGTGCACTTGGCTAATATAGACCTTGTTCAAAAGTAACATCATCTCCCATTTGTACAAAAGATGATTAAATTAATAGATGAATCCTATTCAGGTTTTTAAAAAAGATGGCATGGCATCTGCTGCTACCTGAACAGCAGTAATTTCTGCTGTATCAGAATAAGAGCTCAAGGAGTGCTTTCTCCTTTTTTCTGTTCTTCCCACCTCAATTTAATTAATAGGATGAATCTTATTGCAAAGTCTAAAGAAAAAACAGAAGCACTATTTGAAGACTAAGTTAGCCATTAGATACTTACATAGCTGCCATCAAATCAGATTTCCATTCTGATGACTACATGGTCAAGTGCTGACCATCTCAATCTGTCTCTAGTAATAACCTGTAGTTCTTCCAGGGCATTCCAGTAATGACTCTGATCTTATTCACCTTCATTATCCATTGTCATCCCCTTCTAATTCCCTCAACATGGCCAAGCTAATTATTTCTATCCTATTGACTTAGATACTTCAACTAACTGTTTCAGCAAATACATGTTATTATAGAATTAAGCTTGGAAAGGAAACAATGTATTGTCCAATCCAATGTCTTGTACTTTAGAAACACATCTAATAAATCAAAACATGTTACTGTCAGATTAGTCTTATAATCAGCTGGAAAAAACTCCAAAGTCTGTCTAGAGAGTTCCAGTCTATTCAAAAGTAAATAGACAAATGGAAAGAATACTAGAATACATTTAATTTTAAAAAATTAAATAAAACATACTTTCGCCGACGAGCTTCTTTCATAATGCGTAGCTCTTTGGCTTGACTATAGATCATCTTTGGTAAGTGACGATGGCGATT